ACAGTGATTGTGACCTCTGTTAGCAAGAGACTCTCCTGACTGGTGAGGTGGCTGCTGTATTATGTAGAAGATAGTAGTGTTGCTTGATTGCTTCAGCCTGTGTTTCTTCAAGCTAATTTGGAAGATGACTGAAAACTGACTAGTTTTAAAAACTGAAATGGCTCAGGAAATTCCAGAGTATTTAATGCTTTTCACACTTGGGACTGGACAGGAATTTAATTATATAAATTATTTTAAAAATTCATTAAGTTCCTGCTTGCCTGTAATGAGAATGGCATACTTAGAGAATTACGTAGTCATGGGTCTTCTGAGGTTAAAACCTTGAATATATGCTCTTATGATGTATGACAATAGAGAGACTGAGATGGCTTTTGAACACAAATATGGAATATAGAAGTGGCCAGGAAGAATATGTCTATAGTTCTTAACTTATAGCAGTTATGAAGGGCTTTGGTATCAAACCTGAGTTAGTTGATGTTCTTTTAAATTATTGTTACAAGGTTCTGCTTAACCTGCTGGTGCCTGGAATTCTTGTCTCAGCTTGTGTGAACTCTTCCTCACTTTCCACAAGGCAGCTATACTGGATTTCTCTCAGTTCCTCTAACTACTGTGCTCTTTCCCACCTCAAGTAAGTGCCTTTGCATGTCCCACTTCCTCTACCAACATTCCCTGTACCCCTGTTTTTGCCTAGTTGGCTCCTACTTATCTTTCAAGTTTCAGCTCCAATGGCACTTACTCAGTGAAGTCTTCCTGTAAGCTCCAGACTTTGGATCTAGGTTATAGAGTCCCTCAGTGTTCTGTACTTCTTTTTTGTAATGTTCATCTTCCCTGAGAGACTTTACGTTCCATCTGGGCTCACTTTTATTCATTGCTTTACCCCCAAGTGCCTACTACTCAGTACTGAGAAATGACTAGTTACAAATGTAACTCTTTCATGGAAAGATAGGCTCTTATAAAACAGTAAGCTTGCACTCTATAAGCTTATGCAAAGAAAGAAATTCATCAAAAGAGAATATATATATGTGTGTATGCATGTGTATGTACATACACACATATTTACAGAGAAAGAGAGAGACAGAGACATTCTAGCACAGTGTGCTTACAGTGTTTACAGTGCAAGTTCTGAAGCCAGGTTGACTGGGTTCACATCCAGGTCTGCCACTTAGCAGTGTAACCTTGGCCAAGTTACTTAACCTGTGCGTCAGCTTCTTATCTGTAGGATAGGGGTAATAATAACACCTACCTCAAAAGTCATCATGAGGAGTGAGTTAAAACTGTAGCATATGGTATAATACATGTATACAGTAATAATTCTGAAATAACAGTCCTAGTCATTAGTGTTCTCATTTATTTCCCATTCTCTTCTCATTTCTTCACCTTTTCCCCAGAAAGAGTAGAAAGAAGACTTTTTGGCTTTTTTTTTTCCTTGCTGTAGACTTGTTATCCCCAGTGGAGCCAGAAGACAATCGAATTGAATGGCTAGCTTAGTCATATTTTATATTTGAGGCTAGATACCAGTTTGTGAACATGTTTTAAAATGATAATAAATAAAAAACAGAATTTGAGGAATTGGCATATAAACTATAATTCAAACCTTACTTTTAAAGACTTACAGAGCTTGCCACTTTATGGGGAATTTACTTTAGCATTTTGATAGTCAAACTAAAATCAGTTTCATTGTTTAAGAAACACAGTTTAAAATAAAGTTGCATATAGACTATATTAAAGAGTGCTGTAGCAGTTAAGTGAGTACTGTCTTCTAAAATTTCATGTATCCAAAGATGGAGAGAGTCAAATGAACAATTGAAAATACAAAATCAAGCTGATCTACTCATTCTGTGTACCAGATACTGGGACTAAATATGTAAAAACAGACCATGGCCTTTGCCCTCACATGGGTGACAAATATTTATGTTTAACAAAACATATGGTACTTTTGGATAATTTTTGTGCCATAGAATATATTTTACTATGAAATATAGGTATTGATTATCTAGAAAAGCCTTATAAATACCACTTACAGCTTCACAAACAAGTGGACTACAGTTTGATTTATTTTGTTTTAGGAACCGCCTGCCTTGAGCCAAAGGAGTCAGTCTGACATTAAGCTTATGTCTTTCTCACTACTTTCATGGATCCTTCCCTTCACTGCTGTAGAGCTCACGAGGTAGAGGAAGCAATAACTACTATACTGAGTCTGGGTCTAATGGGAAAGGACTAGTTAGTAACATTACGTGTGTTGAACTATTTATATTGAACAGTTTACTGGGTAAGTTATCAAGTTGTCTCAAACAGTCATAGTAAGGAAGAGAATTGGGACATGATTATGCCCATCCTTTGCCTTTGAGGAAAACAGGTTTTTAAAAGATGTCTCTATATGTATCATTCCAAGGCTAGAGGTTTCATGTAAAGAAATTCTAATGGATGTGCAGAATTCTCTGAGCAGCTCAGGTTTCTTAAAGGGTATCTATATTGATAGATGAAAGGAACACATAATTATCACATAGGTATATAGTCCTAAGTAGACTTTAAGAAATCAACATTTATGAATTTTCTTTTCAAAGGCCAAAGCTCAAAGGGAGCTAAGATGCTTCAGAGAGCACAAAGAGCTTTAAGGTTGTGTTTGGAGCAAGAGCCTCAAGAAGGAAGAGGTAGACTCACTGTCTGAAAAGATATTCCTAATGTTAGCTCTTTGCAGCGGAAATCAGACTATAGCATTCTTTCTTTGCTTCTATAATTCTGAAATAACAGAATTACTTTTCCAATAGTAAAAGGTAAAACAAACAACCTGAAATAGGAGAAATTAAACCATAAAAAGATGAAGATAGTAGGAGTATCATTAACTTTAAATAAATGTAAGTATTCAAGGCACAAATGAGTTGTCTCCCAGCAGTCGAAAGGACTCAGATATGACCTCAGTGTTATTGTCAGTATGTTTTGTGGAATCACAGAGAATGTGGGAAGTACAAGGAGACTGGAGAGATACAAATGTTCCAGTTTCAATAAAGGAGTAAAGTAGATTGTCAAAAATCAAGTGTAGTTCCCTAAGTCAAACTGTGGCAAAATAGATTGTCAAAAATCAAGGGTAGTTCCCTAACTCAAACTGTGGCAAAATTTGAATAGACTGTTACCTCTTGCCCCCAAACTCCCCCCCAAAATTGTGTTTAGAAGAGAATGGGATGATCACCATGAATCATAAGAAATTTGTAAGAAAAAGACATGCCAAACTGACCTCATTTTTTTTTTCAGTTTTATAATTACTACTGGATTAGAGAATAGTAAAGACATGTTGTATCTTGACTTTAGCAAGTGGTTGACAACATCTCCTTGACTATACCTGTGGAAAAGATGAAATGTTGGTAGTTAAATTGATGTACAGTTGCTTGCACAGCCACACTCATGCCAGCATGCCATAGGGTTTATCTAAATAATACAGTTACTTTATAAACTGATTCCTCAAAGAGAACTGGTGGTGAATATTAATTTGCGGATATTCGGAAGTTATGGATTTGTAGTTACAGGTTCTTTTGACTAAGGGCTTGTAGATTGAAATTTAAGTGTCTGGATTTATTCATATGATTGAGATTTCAGTTATAGACATTTTCCCACCCAAGCTGTATTTGTTAGATATATAGATCTATTTTTAAGTTTCATAAATTGCCTTGACTTATGAATCACTTAGAAGTCAAGGAATGTTGACTTGAAAAGTCAAGTTTCTGTGAAAAATCCCTAAACAAAGGGTAGAAATTCATACACAACTTGATAATATAGATATACTCAGCAGTGTATTTTTGAGTTAATGTTTCTTTTGGCTTTCTGGTAATCCTACAGTCAGCTTCCTATTCAGGATATTTATACATTTTTTTATAATGCAAATTCCCTCATCAGAGGGGGAACAATAATATTCCGTCCCCTTAGGAAAGTTCTTTTGATTTCTTGAGGCAAGGAAGTCCATGATTACTGCTACATCTAATATATTTTATTATTAATTGTTAATCTTAAAAAATGCCAACACATACAGTTAATTTATTAAATTTTCACAATTGATATTTCATTGATGCTTATAATATTTTGCCTCCAGTCTCAAAAAAGGTGTGATGGCTTTTTTGAATATTCACACATATTAAATAAATATTACATTTATAAAATTGTCCCTCACCCCTTTCTTTGCAATTGTTAATCTCATTGTTACGTCTAGAATCCTGGGAGAAGTTGAGGGTGAAAAAAGAGTGCAGTTCCAGGCCTAATAATTGTAGGTGTTATTCTTGAAACCTGGCTCTTTTTGCTTTAACTGGCTTTTCAGTCTTAAGATTTCATAGGCCTGTAAAATAAAACTTGAGTTGTTTTAACTCCATTTCTCCTTAAGAGACCCTTCATACTGTAATTTGTGATATATGATTTTATTGTGTCTTTGTTCTTTTATTATATCTAATTTAATGGCTGTTATTTTTATAGATTAAAATCCAATCTGGAGTTTTAGCATTTTATAGTTTATAAGTTATACTATATCTTATAGTAAAGCCTCAAATTAAAAAAACAAAAAAGGAAATCTTGAATTTAAAAAATTGTTCCTTCAAATTGTCTTTTTTAATTATGCAGGTATTATCCTTTCTCCAAATTAAGTCTTTTTTCTGAAAATATGTTCGGTTACTGATTTTTGGAGCCTATATTATGTTATTTTAAATGGGAAAAAAACAATGATACATTCTCTGTTCATTAAGAAACCCTAACTAAACTTTCTCAAACATCACAAAGCACTTTTAAGCACCTATAAAGGAATCCACCAAAGTTTTTGTATAATATTTACAAAGCATTTGAGATATCTCTTACCTAATTTTTAAAATACTTAATGAACTTATTATTGGGTATATAGTATTTTTTTTTCCTGTAAACAATGAGATTGTACAATATTGGTTATAAATTAGGGTTTTCTTCTACCCTGCAATGAACAAGTATGGTAATATAAATTAAAAAATCATATGATTCTATCTAAATTAGACATGGGTAAGTGGGATTCCTAACTGCCTGACAGACGCAACCTCTGGGACCAAGGATTCATCCCTGTAAATATCTTTCAGGTTTTTTTTATCTTCACTTACAAAGTTTCCCTCTTTCTCAGAATCCACTTTTGGCAAGGCAAAAGAGGAGCTTTTTCTGGTTTGTGTTTATTAGTTTGGGGTCTGAATGTTACCTCTGAACTTTAGAAATACTCTGATTTCCTTCTTATATTAACACCCTCTCACACAGTTTATGTTTATAGTTAACGAACTGATCTATAGTAACCTTTTGTTGTATCAGACCTTGTCATAAGTATGTTTTCCAAGTAAACAGAGTATACTTTAATTAACTAGTCATTTCATATTCAGTAAGATAGTCTATTTTGTCTTAGCATTGATCTTTTCTGATTATCTGAAGTCTTGTCTAATGAACAGTGTTCAGACTGCTTTGATTTCTATTTTAAGTTCAACCCTTACCACAAATTCACTGCTGTCAGATTTCTGCAATCTCCTATTTTTGTTTAATATTTCTTTGAGACCCCCTAATATTCCTCTACTTATCTCCCATTTTCCCTGCAAATAATAGAAAATCTTTGACTCTCTCATTTATTCACACTATTACCAGAGTGAAGCAAATGGACAGAAATGCCTGTTAAATTTAGAAATCGGCAGAAGGTAGGGCCTGAGGTAGGGCCCAATTTGGCCTTTTCAAAGATCAGAAAGATGGCCAATGTGGGTGGAATGTAGTTTGAGAGAGGGGAAGAGTGAACAAGTTACGGTCAGAGATAGTCAGAGCCAGAACATGTAGGGCCTTTTCGGCCCTGTACTGGAGTTTGGATTTTGCTCCAAGCGTGACAAGAAACTACTGGGGGGCTCTAAACAGAGTAGTAATTATCTGATTTATATTTCAAATCTCACTCAGTCTGCTATGTGAGTGGTGGGGCGGGAAAGAGGCAAGAATGGATACAGAGAGGCTGATTAGAAGGCAGTTGCAGAATTCCAGATGATTAAGTTGTGGTTTAGATTAAGACTGGTGGCAATGGAAATGGAGAGAAGAGGGATATGTTTTGGAGGTAGGACTGACAAAATTTGCTAATGGATTAGATCTGGGGGATAGCAGTAAAAGAGAGAAATCAAAGATGACTTCTGGATTTTGGGATTGTTCTATGGGTTGATGGTGCTGTTATTTTCTAAGACAGGGAAAACCAGGTAAGAGAAAAACATTGGAGGAGGGTAGAATTAAGCACTCTGTTTTGGCTATCTGAAATTTGAGGTGTTTATTTGATTTCCAAATATATCTGCAATATATATGAATGAGTTTGATGAGTTTGGAGCTTGGTGGAGATAGGTTAGGGATGGAGACATGATATGAATTTAGAAATTATTAATATATAGATGGTATTTAAAGCCATGGTACCAAATAAAATTACCTTGTATATTTGTCATATTCTTTAACCTATACCTCCTCCCTCTCCTACCATGTAAAACTATACCCACATTTTATTGCAGGTACATATTTTTATTATAGTACCTATAATAATTTGTTGTTACCTTCTTTTTAATAAAGCATTCTGATTTCTTTTTTCTGTTTATAGTTAAATAGTTTAAGGATATTCAGTCACTAGCTTCTATATTTAATTGGACATCTAACAGTTATGTGTTTTGTTTTCTGTCTTTTTTTTTTTTTTTTTGTAGGCAAAGTCATTAATAAAGATTTACGACATTACCTGAGTCTTCAGTTTCAGAAAGGATCAATTGACCACAAACTGCAGCAAGTGATCAGAGATAATCTCTACTTGAGAACCATTCCATGTAAGTATGTGATGTAATAAAAGAAATGAGGCAGAAATATCCTCACTTACCTAATTAAACATCTAGAAATAATTCAATATTATTATGAGTATCTCATGTAGAATTATGAAGACTAAGTTAGGGACAGGTATGAAACAAAAATTTATCCAAGGAGAAGAATTTTCAGAGGACTTCAGGGGTTTTGTTTTTAAAAGTAGAAAAACTGGAAGATTTTATACTGTGACTTTTTGAAAAGAGATGACTACAATTTGATAATATATATTTTCATGTTGTTAACTAGATTTTATTGCTATAAATCAATTTCTAGCAAAACTGAGGTTACCAGAGGTGGGGAAGGGGGAGGTGTGGGGGGATAAGGGAGGAATTGGTAAAGGGATATGAAAAATGATTAGATTACATTGTATAATGTTGAATATACTAATTATCCTGATTTGAGCATCACATGTGACACACAGGTATTGATATTCACCTGTGTACCCCACAGATATGTACAATCAACTGTTAGAATAAAAAAAATTAAAAATAAATAAATCCTATGCAGTAAGAAAACATTTTAGCTCTCAATACTTTTGTACGTGGAGAACAATAATTTTATTAGAACATTACTGGTTTTGGGGCCGGCCCGGTGGCGCACTGGATAAGTGCGCCGCTTGGGAAGCGCAGCGGTGCTCCCGCCCGAGGGTTCAGATCCCACATACGGACCGGTTCCCGCTCACTGGCTGAGCGAGGCGCGGGAGCAGCACCGAGGGTTGCGATTCCGTTGCCGGTCCCCGGTCCGGTACGGGGGCAACACTGAGGGTTGCGATCCGTTGCCGGACACGGAAAAAGACAAAAGACAAAAAAAAAAGAACATTACTGGTTTTAAAATCTGCCCCTCCTCCAATGAAAAAAGAAAAGAGAGGAAAAGAAACAAGCTTTCTTTGCCTTCTATGTGGTGATTTATTTTGAATTTTTATTTAGATGTTGGTGGATTTATTCCAGTCTTATTGGTTTTCAGAGGACCTGGTTATTGTTGTAACAGTGTATTTTTTAAAAAACACAGAACAAGAAATCGTATATTTTTAAGTTTTGGCTTTAGTTAGTACAGGTCTGGGGAAGAATAAAAAAGGCAGTAGATAATAAAAGGGTGTGTAAGGGCATTCTGCTTTGTTTACCTTTTCAATATATTTGTAACTCCTTGTGGATACTAGCTTTCTAATGGTTCCAGAATTTTTTGTTTCTTTTTCTTGTTGTTTAAACAATATCCAGTCTTAACACCAAGCCTTCCTGAGTACGCTTTTTAAATATCTATCCCTCTCCACTTTAGACCCTCACCCTTTCTTGCTTGGACTATTTGTCTTTTCTTTTTTCTTTTTTAAACCACAAATAGCATTATGTAGTGGCAAAGAGCTAGGTAAAGCTGACTTCAGAACCTTGACACCAGCATCTTACTAGCTGCTTTGCTTCGGCAAGTTACTAAATGTTCCTGTGCCTCAGTATCTCTCTATGTAAAATGAGAATAACAACACTCACATCATATAGTTATTACTAGAATTAAAATGAGAACATGCATGTAAACCACTCAGCCTAGAGTAGACACTCAAGTAGTGTTTGTCCCCTTCCCTCATTCTGACTGGATCCTCTGCTTCTTGTGTCACCTCAGTCTTATCCATCTTTAAGTGTACATCTGCTTCTCATCCATCGTATCCTTCAAAGACTCCCACTGATGGCAAAATAAAGTTCAGACTCCTTAGTGTGGTATAATATATTTTTTGTTTTTAAATCTGACTCCTTATATATGATTTCCTCCACAAATCTACTTTGTCAGATTTCAGAATTGCAATGCCTGTATTTGCCTGATATATCTGTCTATCTTTTTATTCTTAAAGTTTTTGAATCTGATTTACAAATAATCTGTATTTTACTTACTAGACAATGTGAAACTTTCTTTATATTTATTGATATGATCAATATCTTTAGCCTCAGTTCTCTCATGTTTTACTATGCTGACATATATGTCTTTTGTATAAAAAGCCTTTTACTATGTAGTCTATTTTATTTGAGCTCTCTCTTTTCAGGAAGGTTTGTATCTGTATTCTATATAATACTCTTTGTTTCTCCTCCCCCCTTTTTTGTTTTTGTCCCGACTGTGAGTATTTAAAATTATCTAGTCATCTCTTCTTCCTTCCCTCCTTTTCTCCATCATCTGACTTGAAGTAATATCTTTTTACTCTCAAAAAATATGAGGTATCAGTAAGCTTATTCTACTTTGCATGTGCTTTCCTCATTCTTACCTTGTTTTTTGGTAGTTGAGCTGTATCAACATGGGCAAAGCAAACAGCCATTACATTAATGTACTCTCCCCTTTATAATTGTCATTAATTCTTCATCCTGTGGGTAAATACATATATAATCTAGCAATCAATCTTTATATTGTTGTTTCTTCAATAATTGTGGTTATATAAAGCTTGCTCTCTACTAGAATTCCCAGGAAATGCTTACAAGATCATATCAGCCGTTTGTGGCTTTTATAGTTTTATGTTTGTTTGGATGGATATGAAACTTTGGCCTCATATTTTCTTTACTTGATCATCTTAAATATATTAGTCAATTATCTAATTGTTTTCTACCATAAAGCATTGCTTTTAAAAAGTCTGATAACAATCTGATTTTCATTCCCTTGTAAGTAACTTGGTATTTTGCCCACATGGAGTGTCTCTGTATAACACTTAGTTTCAGCTCTGGAGCTTCATCTTCCCTTGTTAAAACAAGGTAATAAAAATATGTACTTGTACTTTCAAAGATCTGTCTCCTTAACTGCCATCTGCCGCTTTCACTTGAATCTTCTTTTTAATTTATTTTTATTATCCCAGTTTTGCAATTTCTCCTCAGTGTTAGTTTTTGTCCTAGAAAGGAGCTACAATTTATTTAGTTTTAATTCACAGGGTCCAAGCAGCTGCAGACTTTTCAGATCTTTACAGGACCTCTTAACTTACTCACAAATTGAAGTGTCCAAAAACCTCCTAGGAACCTAGAAGCAATGACAAATCAGTCCATCAGTAGCAGTTAGCAAACTGAATGGTCATATCTGGTCTCTGAGGTCTCCTTGGAGAAAATTCTGATTCGAGGTCTGGGGCAAGGAAAGTACAAGATGTGCTTGGAACATCTAATTTTACCAGAAAGTATGGAAATGCTTAAAAAATTATAAAGACATCTTGGAAGGAAACAAAAGCCACCTAGAAGAGATGCTTACTGACAAAAATCTGAGACAATTTCAGCAACAAAAGAGATAGAGTGAGAGAGACTTTTACTGTTGTCAGATATTGAACTGTAGGTAGAACAGGACTATGATTCCTGAGAGAAGAGGAAAGGAGACTGCACACAAAGGAGTCCTATGGTTTCCTCAATTTTCTGCCTATAGACACTGTCCAGACAACAGCACAGGGAGGGACAGCCAAGGCACAGTACAGCTGACCCTGAGTTGAGGGGACAGAAATCTGAGTTAAGTCTGAGGTATCTGGAATTTACAGGGCAGTGGGGACAGACTATTGAATTTCAGAGCTCGAGGAATTTGCAAGGGCTCCCCCTTGAGTCCATTGCTGAAAATATATAGGGTCAAACTTCACAAGGCCAGACAAAGAACTGTCTGGGAGCTGTAACAGTAAAATTCTGCAGTAAAAAAGAATGAAATTCTTCCATTTGCAGCAACATGGACAAACTTAGAGAAAATTATGTTAAGTGAAATAAGCTAGGCACAGAAAGGGAAATACCACATGTTCTCACTCATAAGTGGGAGCTAAAGAAAGAAAGAAAGAAAGAAGGATGCAACAATCACAACAATTCATTGAACTTTCAAAAGGAGAGAACAGAACTAGGCCACCAGAGGTGGGAAAGGGGGAAAAGAAGGAAGAGGGGTTAGCGAGAAATTCATAAAGGGCCACAAAAATGATTACATTGTGTAATGTTGAATATATCCTGATTTGAGCATCACATATTACACATAGGTGTTGATATTCAATGCTGTATCCCACAGACATGTGCAATCAATTATGTTTTTTTTTTTTTCCTTTTTGTCTTTTTTCGCGTCCGGCAATGGATCGCAACCCTCAGTGTCGCGCCCGTACCGGACCGGGACCGGCAACGGGATCGCAACCCTCGGTGTTGTGCCCAC